GGAGCCCAAAGGCGCCTTTAAGGGGGGGAGTCGAAAAAACACACGTGGGCAAAAAGCGTTTTTTTTTTTGTGAACAAAGATAAATGACATCTAAAAGTCATGCATAAAGGCTAAAATGCTAAAAGGGCTTTTATCACTTTCTACGCCATCTAATGGGAAAATGTGGTTAATGCAGGGAAAAGGCAGAAGTATAATGATAATATCAATAAATTATATCATCTGGAAAAGTTTGGCGGACCAGATTAAAAATCTGAAAGATTGCCCATGCCTGGTCTAAAACACACTTCCGAAATTTAGGTATTTCAAAGAGTTGTGTGAATGGAAGTCTGTGAGAACCTGTAGACACTTCTGACTTGACTTGTCTTTTCTTCCAGGCATATATTGGGAGGTCAGTACATAGATATAACTCAGGTGTGCCCAATAAGTAGATTGTGATCTATCAGTAGATCACGAAGGAAGAACCCATAGATCATAAGCAATTAAAATAAAATAAAAATGAAAAAAATACAAAATATAGATGTCATTCTATTTGTAGATTAAATCTCTAGGACTAAAATAGCCATATAATTATGGTAGACTGCATTTTCCGGACTATAATTCACCCTTTTTCTTGCGACTATATGTTTTTTTTTTTCTCTTCATTACGCATTTTTTGACTGGTGCGACTTATACTCCGGAGCGACTTATAGTCCAGAAAATACAGTAGTATTGTGTCATAGAGCTACATTCTAGCCTGGTCATTGAGTACCACTGCCTTGTTGCATCTAGTCAATCGCATTCTCTGTTTCATGCGAGCCAAAAAAAAGACTATCCTTTAACAGCCCCGTTCTCTTCTCTCCTTGTGAAGTTTGACATGGATGGAGATGGTAAGATCACGACAGAAGAGCTGCGGTTGACTATGATAAAGCTGATGGGCGACCACATGACTCCTCGGGAGATAGACTCTATCGTGAAGGAAGCCGATGACAACGGAGATGGCACAGTGGATTTTGAAGGTAAGAACAGTGTTGGAAACACGGACCTTCGTCAGCTAATACGACACATTGGTGCGTTATCAACTCATCGAACCCTTTTGTCTTCCATGCAGAGTTCGTGGGAATGATGTCCCGTTAGTGAATGATGAAGTGCCCTGGACGTACCCCACCATCATATAGCCCCGATATACTGGCAGGATTTGAAGTATTAGCCGTGTATGCGCTACGTTGTAGCGCATACATTTTGGTCATTTAGTTGTTAGCCTGTAAAAAAAAAGATTCACATTAAAAAGGAACTCGAAAGACACAATTAATCCTTATTAATTGTGAAAAACCCACAACTACCCTGTGATGAATCAGATCAAACACTTTAATGGTTTGAAAGCCGTAGTCATTACGTTTACTTCACAATTACTGTATGTGTATAGCTGAAATGAAAAGACATGACATATCTCAGAGGGAATTAACCATTTAATATTTTTCATTTACTGAGACCTTCTTTTTTTTTACTGTGAATAAATAGTAACGACTGGTATCGAAGGAATATTATTTGCTTGAATATTCTGTAGCGATTTGGATCATTGATTTTTTGATGTTGTTTTCTGACTTTGTTTGTGTAGGCAGAGAACAAAGTGAGAATCTAACAAGGTATTAATAAACTTTTGAGTTTTTGGAGCCATCAGAAATGTCATCTTTACAGTCCGCCTGCATTTGAAACATTATAGGGGCTTAAGAACAATACGACGGTAGGCCGTGCTCAGTAAATGTAACTGTAAAACCTGATGCTCCTTTGTGATAACCTCCAAAAAAAAAAAAAAACAAACACGCAAAATACGTCTCCTATTTCACTTTAAAAATTTAGGAGTAATTACAACTAATGAATAAGTCGCGACTAAGCTTTTGATAAAAGCTTTCGATAGTATTTCCTGTTTCCTGATAGTTTGACACAGAAGACGTTTATTTATAGTAGTTGTAAGTATGGGGGAAAAAAAACTGTTTATTTAACATCTGCAGTTATATCATGTTAAATTACTTTTCTTTTCATCATTATATAGAGTTTTCAGCTAGAAGAATTCCTCCACTAGAGACACATTTTATGAGTATTTGTAGATATAAAATTGGAAGTTTGGCAGTTGCCAGTTGCTTTCGACGTAACTATTTTTCGGATTAAATGACCCGGATGACTGAGAACCTACACAGACAACAGAACAAGAATGTTTTTTTTTTCACATGTTCCATGCTTATTCATTTAAATAAATAATAATAAATACTAATATACTGTAGCATCTGGTCACTTTGTCCTCCAGCATCCTTCTTTTCTTTTTTTTTTTTTTTATTTGTTTCCTCTGAGTTTTCGATCTGTGTTGACCAACCTACTTCTGTTCCTGGACTAAAACCTCACTCATGTTTTGGGCTTGGGCTACTTTTACTTTTCTTTGGAATAATCTATAAATAATCTACTGGGTACAGATCCTCTTTGGACTACTGACTCTTCCTTTGCCTATGTTTGTATATTTGTCTATTTTTTAAATTAAATTAAATAATATGACTATATCTGGCTCTGCTTCGACTGCTCCCAGTGTATGTGCCTTTTTTTTACACTAAGCAACAACAACAAAAAAAGGTGTTACTTAAAAGCACTGCGCACATACAGTCATATTGTCAGAAATGAATCATATTATATCACAAAACCATTTTTTCTTATGGTAATTTAGCTCAGTTGAGATTTTTTTTAAAATTTTGACTTTGATTCATACACAGTTTTAAAACCATTATACATATATATATACAACTCGGAACCTTATATATGGCTGTAAAACGTTCAACACAATGACAGATGGGAAGGAAGTGCTAATATAATAATTCCATATGTAGTGGTTTGCCATCAGCAGACGGATAGATAGGGCCAATTAGTGAAACATATTTTCTTTTTCAGATGTGGAACCTCGGCAGAGACTTACCACACTAGTACTGCGGTCCCACCCCTTAAACGCTGCTGGCAATCCCCCAGTTGTTTCCTCGGGATTAACAACCCCTCCCTTCATAATTGTGACAGCTGGCCAAGTTAAAAGCAGCTGGAAAGGCTTAATCAGGGCATGACTGCAGTCCCTGAGGGCATCAGCCCCAATGTCCATAGCTCTTGTACTGCCCAGCTGCCAGGTATGCTGCAGCAACTAATCAACCTGAGCTTAGTGCAGGTGTGGGCAAACTTTATGACTGGCGGGGCACAATTGTCCTAAAATTGAACAGTGGGGCCGGGTCAGGAGCCGACATGTAAAAGTCATGCATAAAGGGTAAAATGTTAAAATACTTTTATCATTTTCTACGCAGTCTATTGGGAAAATGTATTGGAGGGAAAAGGCAGAAGTACAATGATAATATAAATACATTATATGTACATATAATTTTAGATTTATATAAGTTTGCCGGGCCGGATTAAAAAGCTGAATGGGCTGCATTCGGCCCCCAGGCCTTAGTTTGCCCATGCCTGGCTTAGTATGTTCACTGCCATTTCCCATGAAAACCAAACCAATTCTGTTTATGGGCTTGAGATCAGTAGCCCTGTCATTACATAACATAAAGACGCTTAAAAAAAATCTACCTGTTACAGCATGCTCACTCACAGCCAGCCTGTTGGTGGCACTGTGTGGATCTTGGTTTTGAATTTTTTTTGCAGTGCCATTATCGGGTATCTGTTTGTCCTGCACATTTTTTTTTATACTCTTTGCAAAATCTTTACATTCGTCTCCTGTTAACAAAACATCTGTTAACACACTTTTTTAAGTGGTTCGTAAAAGTGGTTTTAAATTTGACATTGTATATTTAAGCAAATGAGAAAACATTTTCACTGGAAAGGCCTTGGTTATTGCTTTTCTAAGTGCGGTTTTATAATGTGTAAACTGTATTACAAAACCAGAATCGATAAGACTAAAAGAAAAAAACAAATGATGTAATGCACTCTGGCCTGTCCTTTCCCTGATCCCCTGCTGATCCCTCTGACATCCAGCATTGAAGTTATTGTATTAATCCACCATAATCTCTCTCTCTCTCTCTTTGACTCCATTCTGAAATAAGGCCAGCTTCCTGCTGTCATGAACTCCAAAACTGACCTTCTGCAATTATCTCCCAACATGAACTGTGATCTTGCCTGGTCTTTGGTTCATTGGTTCCTGTTTTTTTTTTTTTTTTTTCAGAAGTCCTGCTAATCCTTCATGGAAGTAATATCCAATTGAGCTCCAGGCCTGAGGTCAACCTAAGAGCTATACAAAAGACTGGCTCTTGGCTTTTCCTGTTTTCATTTGTCTGTTAAGTTATATTATATATTATGTTACATATGCGCAGTTAGCTGGTTTCATTTGGTTCATAAAGCCAAACTGCCTTAGTTAAACCATACAGAAATATATAAATTATGTATTTATTGAACATATTTTTAAATTCTCCTAATTCCTCCTCTGATAAAATTACCTGATTAAATTATAATATTGTACTTGTGGTTGAATTATACATTAATTAATTAATTTAAAAAATCGATATAATGTATTTTTTCTTTTGTTTAATATTTATAGAAATGTAACTTATTCACGATTTTTTTTTTCCCTGTTACTTTTTACTGACTTTTTTTTAGACGGCCAGATTTCGGAGAGGAAACCGGAAACGGATGTTGTCCTCTCGTAAGTGCATCATGTCTGTCTTCCCTTTTCGCCGGCACGTTTTCGTGTTTATTGGCGTTGTTAAATAAGCAAATGCGCAAAAATAACGTCCTCGCTGACATAAGATAATAACAATCATAATGTACATTTACAAATTCACTATGTTAAATCGCCGTATGCTTCTCGGTAGAATCTGCTAATGCACTTGCATTACTTCGCACTGTACTGTGTAAATTGAAATAGGTCGTTCCTTCACTGTGTTAAATCGCCGTATTCTTCTCGGTAGAATCTGCTATTGCACTTGCATTACTCCGCAATGGAATATAAGTACTGTGTAAATTGAAATAGGTCGTTCTTGTTAATAAAACTGTTGGCTTTATGTCATTGTATATCCGAATGGAAACCCGAGACTTAAGTAACCTTAATATTTGTCACATATGCAAAGTATGACCAAGGATCGATTGCCGAAATAACTGGTTAGCTTTGACCTGAGCTGCATGTGTATCTGAATGATGCACAAAATCGAATTTATGTTAATAATCACACGAAAAGTATGCAAAGATTTTTAGCTGTTTTCTCCAGCAGTCTAAAATAGGCAGATAGAGGATTAGATTGCATTAAACATTGAAATATACATCATTCGGTTGTTGGATTAGGTGTTGTCCTACGGACTTTACCTTTCCCCAAATTATGTAGTTGAATTTAGATGTAAAGGTTCACTTGTAAATGGAAGAATAGCGTGCAACTAAAGTTCTATAAAAAAAATGTTGTTTGTCAAATTTAAAAGTGTGTAAAATCACCCGGTTGACATGAATATTAAAGTGTAAACGTAAAGGGAAAACAAGTTTCGTGACTACCTTTGGTCATCGTTACGCAGTGGTAGCCATCTTGTTCCTGAAGACCTTTACTGAAACTTGATGATAACATCTAGCATTTAGCCTTAAAAAATAAAATAAAAAGCTTATTCTACACAAAAAGGAAACCCGCCTTTAAAGAACTCTTAGAATTACTGAAAAAGAAGTAAGTTTAGCATTTTCTTGCCTGGGTTACCTAACATTTCAAATGCTGTATTTTCAAACTTCTGTTAACAAATATTGTTAACAGAACAATTTTCTGCTTTAATTAGAATCGCCCCCTAAGAATCTAATTTAAGTGGCCTTTTAAGACAAGCCGTTATTTAGAATAACAATATGGTTAGAATTTTAATTAGAGGGAAAACCTATATAATAATTATTTGTTGATGTAAGTTGATGTGTGCATTGACATTTTAATGGCAGTTTGCTAATATTGCCCATTGCGGTTGGTTACTGGTTAAATTTCACTATTGTTTTCTCTCATTGACACAGGTCGGCACTGATGTTGTCAGCGTGTAAAAAGCTCACCAGGACATTTTTATTCCACAGCTGCATAAAACGTCCCTCTGCACTTATATCCACCCTGCTATCTGTGCCTTCACCTCTTCACAATCACATTCTGGTAACAAACAAGAAAACCCCATTTTCCTTCAATCAGCCCTCAGTCTTTCCCTTGTGTTATATCACCGACCGTGGCCCGATGGAGCTCAAAGAGGTGGTGCAGATACTGGAGCAGCTTGCCCCCCTGTCGCTTGCAGAGTCGTGGGACAATGTTGGCCTGTTGGTTGAGCCCTGCAAATCCCGGCCCATTAAGACCATACTGTTAACCAATGACCTCACACAGGCCGTTATGGACGAAGCAGAGGCTGCGAACTGCGACCTCATAATCTCCTATCACCCGCCTTTGTTTCGGCCAGTCAAGCGTCTAATTCAGAAAGACTGGAAGCAACGGTTGGCGTTACGGGCAGTGGAGGCCGGCATAGCGATTTTCTCACCTCACACTTCATGGGACAGTGTTAAAGGGGGGCTGAATGACTGGCTGCTGGAGGGACTGGGTAAGACATGGTCCTTCTGAAGGGGAAACTGTTACATACACTTTACATGTGGCGCTTGTACCATGTGTATTTAACGAATGTACAAGATAACATGTGACCCGTGACACTGACCTATTGGACTTTTTTTTCTGACCCAGTTCTTTTAACGTTTTCTGTTATCTGTTTGTCCTTCCCAGGTAGTGGCCAGGTGTCTGTGCTGAGTCAAGCCCTCAGTGGAGCCCCCCTCAGTTATAAGCTGGAGTTCATGGTCAGAAGCACAGCGGAACTTAGCACGGTGGTGGAAGAACTGAGGGCACGTGCTGGAGGAGAAACGCTGAAGCCTTTGACAAACAGGTCTTGCTCTAATAAATGTCCAGTATATATTTGCTCAGTAATGGACCATGGACGATTGGTCAAACTTTGGCTTTCTGCTTTCTGCCCTAGAAAATGGTCAGAAGTGCCTGTAGTGTCCTATCTTCCTATTTCATCTAAATAGGATTGAGTTAAATTGAGGACCTTGAGGAAAACATATTACTATTAGTACGTCGATCATACAAGGTTTATGTTGAATATATTACACAACAGTACCGTCATTTCCGGACTATTGAGTGCACCTAAATAATTATAATTATAATAATAATTAAATAAATAATAAATTATTAAATAAATAATTAAATTATAATAATTAAATTATAATAAATAATTAAATAAAATAAATAAATAATAATTAGTGCACCCACTAATTTTAAAAATAAAAAAAATTGTACATGTATTGGCCGCACTTCCCTAACTTGGGATATTCACACTGAAAGATTTTTTTTTTTTCACTTTCAATTAAATAAATGCGAACACGGCTGGTTAGCCCCAGAGCTAACGTTAGCTCTGGGGCTAATTAAATTACGGTACGTAAAAATTGTATTATAGTAGACAGATGTACTTTATTGATCCACAGGTGGAAACAATGAAAAATATACTTAAACTAAGATACTCCTAGATTGACAGGAGTATAAATGCCTAAAACAATAAAACAATAGCAGTGTCGGTATGTTTACTTTTTAAACAGTGTGGACGACAGTGGGATCCTTGTGAGTGTAACCTGTAGTGACTCGGCGTTGACTCCCAGCGTTCAGACTCTGTTGCAACACACTGCTCCCAGCCAGTCCCTCAACATCCTAAAGTTAGAGCAGGTGCAGTAAGATCCACACTTTGACAAAAAAAAAAGTTTTTTCATTCTTTTATCTATCCACATTATCAAACCAACACATTTCTCCCCGCAGCCGCCACTGCTGGGCCATGGCCAAGGCCGACTCGGCGTTTTGGACCAGCCTGTATCTGTGGCGAAAGCCATTGAGAAAATGAAGTCTCACCTGGGATTGAATCACCTTCGCTTGGCTTTGGGATTTGGGAGAACACTAGGTAAGAAACCAGTAAAAAATAATGTAAAGGTCTACGAGGATAATGGTCGGAGAAATTTCAATCACGGTAGAGCCTGAGAGCGATGGCCATATGGCAAAACGCAAGGAAAATCAGTGTCACTGTTCAAAAATACAGTTACATCGACGGCGGAGTAGGTTTCTCGTTTCTCCTCTTTTTCAAGAGGCTTCTTCAGTTCTGAACTGAACAGAATTGAAGAAGGCTCCTGGATGAGAGGTGAAACGTCTTCAAGAAACCTACTCCGTCCAGTTGCCCTCCATGTAACTTTTTTTTGGATAAGATGACCTTTATGACTGAGAACCGACACAGACGAGTGTCACTGTTGTTTTATTGGAAGCTCAGATCACTTTATTACAATTTTAATCTGTTCTAAATCTTGCCGTTTTTTTATACCAATCCTCAGTCTGTTTGATTAAGAAATAAAAGTGTCTCATCTTCAAGTCAGTACGTTCTGAATCAACTGTTCTCTTTGTTGTGAAATATTTCAGATTCCTCTGTGCGTACTGTAGCTGTATGTGCCGGATCGGGAGCATCAGTTCTGTGTGGGGTCAAAGCAGACCTCTACATCACAGGTACACGTTCCGGCCGACCCTCGCCCCCACTTTTTGACCACACCCACTGGGTGTGACTGCTGTTAATGCCGAATGAGTCTAAGCCAGTTGTTTTAGTGATCCCTAGTATCCTTTGTTCTAGGTGAGATGTCCCACCATGAGGTCCTGGACGCCGTAGAGAAGGGCACCAGTGTGATCCTCAGTGAGCACAGCAACAGCGAACGAGGTTTTCTGGCTGTGTTCAGGGAGAGGCTGCTCCTGCGTCTTCCCGACTCAGTCGCTGTGGTTCTGTCTAAATCTGACAGAGACCCACTGGAGGTGGTCTGAGTGCCATGACAGTAATAAAAAAAAAGAAAAAAAAGGAAATTAAGCCTAAAAAGAAACCTTAATATAATTGATCTCACGATGGGATTGATAAATAAACTGTCTAATATTAGCTTGACTCTGTGCTTTTATTTTGGTGTCTTATTGGATGGTACAGTTTTAAATCAAATGCAACGACCAATCATTTTTAGACAACCTCACATTGTATATGTATAGAGGACAACTGGAGATTGAGGGGAAAAAGAACCATCTGACGTGCGTTTACTGATATTCATTTTTGAGCGAGAATCAAGAGGCTTCGGGAAACTTCCCTGTGAGATCTCTGGCTCATGTCTTTATGTCTTTATCGTGTATAATTCTATTTATATTTTGCTTTTAATTCACTGTATGTGACAATAACCATGTCCATAAATCTTTTCTTCTTTTTCTTTCGGCTTTGTCCCTTTTTTTTTCAGGGGTTGCCACAGCGAATCATTGATTTCCATCTCTCCCTGCTCCTTGACTCCAACTATCTGCATGTCCTCCCTTCTTTTTTGTCTTTGACCCACAGTAGTCCAATTTCCACCAGTATCCTGTAGGTCAACAGCACTGTTTTTTTTTAAAAATTATTATTATCATAAATTTTCTATTTATTTATTTTATTTATTTACTATTAATATAATTATTAATAACAATGTCCATAAATATGTATACATATGTCATAGACATACTGTATATATGGACATTATCTATTATCTATTTCCACCAGTACCCTGTAGGTCAACAGCACTGTTTTTTTTTAAAAATTATTATTATCATAAATTTTCTATTTATTTATTTTATTTATTTACTATTAATATAATTATTAATAACAATGTCCATAAATATGTATACATATGTCATAGACATACTGTATATATGGACATTATCTATTATCTATTTCCACCAGTACCCTGTAGGTCAACAGCACTGTTTTTTTTTAAAAATTATTATTATCATAAATTTTCTATTTATTTATTTTATTTATTTACTATTAATATAATTATTAATAACAATGTCCATAAATATGTATACATATGTCATAGACATACTGTATATATGGACATTATCTATTATCTATTTCCACCAGTACCCTGTAGGTCAACAGCACTGTTTTTTTTTAAAAATTATTATTATCATAAATTTTCTATTTATTTATTTTATTTATTTACTATTAATATAATTATTAATAACAATGTCCATAAATATGTATACATATGTCATAGACATACTGTATATATGGACATTATCTATTATCTATTTCCACCAGTACCCTGTAGGTCAACAGCACTGTTTTTTTTTAAAAATTATTATTATCATAAATTTTCTATTTATTTATTTTATTTATTTACTATTAATATAATTATTAATAACAATGTCCATAAATATGTATACATATGTCATAGACATACTGTATATATGGACATTATCTATTATCTATTTCCACCAGTACCCTGTAGGTCAACAGCACTGTTTTTTTTTAAAAATTATTATTATCATAAATTTTCTATTTATTTATTTTATTTATTTACTATTAATATAATTATTAATAACAATGTCCATAAATATGTATACATATGTCATAGACATACTGTATATATGGACATTATCTATTATCTATTTCCACCAGTACCCTGTAGGTCAACAGCACTGTTTTTTTTTAAAAATTATTATTATCATAAATTTTCTATTTATTTATTTTATTTATTTACTATTAATATAATTATTAATAACAATGTCCATAAATATGTATACATATGTCATAGACATACTGTATATATGGACATTATCTATTATCTATTTCCACCAGTACCCTGTAGGTCAACAGCACTGTTTTTTTTTAAAAATTATTATTATCATAAATTTTCTATTTATTTATTTTATTTATTTACTATTAATATAATTATTAATAACAATGTCCATAAATATGTATACATATGTCATAGACATACTGTATATATGGACATTATCTATTATCTATTTCCACCAGTACCCTGTAGGTCAACAGCACTGTTTTTTTTTAAAAATTATTATTATCATAAATTTTCTATTTATTTATTTTATTTATTTACTATTAATATAATTATTAATAACAATGTCCATAAATATGTATACATATGTCATAGACATACTGTATATATGGACATTATCTATTATCTATTTCCACCAGTACCCTGTAGGTCAACAGCACTGTTTTTTTTTAAAAATTATTATTATCATAAATTTTCTATTTATTTATTTTATTTATTTACTATTAATATAATTATTAATAACAATGTCCATAAATATGTATACATATGTCATAGACATACTGTATATATGGACATTATCTATTATCTATTTCCACCAGTACCCTGTAGGTCAACAGCACTGTTTTTTTTTAAAAATTATTATTATCATAAATTTTCTATTTATTTATTTTATTTATTTACTATTAATATAATTATTAATAACAATGTCCATAAATATGTATACATATGTCATAGACATACTGTATATATGGACATTATCTATTATCTATTTCCACCAGTACCCTGTAGGTCAACAGCACTGTTTTTTTTTAAAAATTATTATTATCATAAATTTTCTATTTATTTATTTTATTTATTTACTATTAATATAATTATTAATAACAATGTCCATAAATATGTATACATATGTCATAGACATACTGTATATATGGACATTATCTATTATCTATTTCCACCAGTACCCTGTAGGTCAACAGCACTGTTTTTTTTTAAAAATTATTATTATCATAAATTTTCTATTTATTTATTTTATTTATTTACTATTAATATAATTATTAATAACAATGTCCATAAATATGTATACATATGTCATAGACATACTGTATATATGGACATTATCTATTATCTATTTCCACCAGTACCCTGTAGGTCAACAGCACTGTTTTTTTTTAAAAATTATTATTATCATAAATTTTCTATTTATTTATTTTATTTATTTACTATTAATATAATTATTAATAACAATGTCCATAAATATGTATACATATGTCATAGACATACTGTATATATGGACATTATCTATTATCTATTTCCACCAGTACCCTGTAGGTCAACAGCACTGTTTTTTTTTAAAAATTATTATTATCATAAATTTTCTATTTATTTATTTTATTTATTTACTATTAATATAATTATTAATAACAATGTCCATAAATATGTATACATATGTCATAGACATACTGTATATATGGACATTATCTATTATCTATTTCCACCAGTACCCTGTAGGTCAACAGCACTGTTTTTTTTTAAAAATTATTATTATCATAAATTTTCTATTTATTTATTTTATTTATTTACTATTAATATAATTATTAATAACAATGTCCATAAATATGTATACATATGTCATAGACATACTGTATATATGGACATTATCTATTATCTATTTCCACCAGTACCCTGTAGGTCAACAGCACTGTTTTTTTTTAAAAATTATTATTATCATAAATTTTCTATTTATTTATTTTATTTATTTACTATTAATATAATTATTAATAACAATGTCCATAAATATGTATACATATGTCATAGACATACTGTATATATGGACATTATCTATTATCTATTTCCACCAGTACCCTGTAGGTCAACAGCACTGTTTTTTTTTAAAAATTATTATTATCATAAATTTTCTATTTATTTATTTTATTTATTTACTATTAATATAATTATTAATAACAATGTCCATAAATATGTATACATATGTCATAGACATACTGTATATATGGACATTATCTATTATCTATTTCCACCAGTACCCTGTAGGTCAACAGCACTGTTTTTTTTTAAAAATTATTATTATCATAAATTTTCTATTTATTTATTTTATTTATTTACTATTAATATAATTATTAATAACAATGTCCATAAATATGTATACATATGTCATAGACATACTGTATATATGGACATTATCTATTATCTATTTCCACCAGTACCCTGTAGGTCAACAGCACTGTTTTTTTTTAAAAATTATTATTATCATAAATTTTCTATTTATTTATTTTATTTATTTACTATTAATATAATTATTAATAACAATGTCCATAAATATGTATACATATGTCATAGACATACTGTATATATGGACATTATCTATTATCTATTTCCACCAGTACCCTGTAGGTCAACAGCACTGTTTTTTTTTAAAAATTATTATTATCATAAATTTTCTATTTATTTATTTTATTTATTTACTATTAATATAATTATTAATAACAATGTCCATAAATATGTATACATATGTCATAGACATACTGTATATATGGACATTATCTATTATCTATTTCCACCAGTACCCTGTAGGTCAACAGCACTGTTTTTTTTTAAAAATTATTATTATCATAAATTTTCTATTTATTTATTTTATTTATTTACTATTAATATAATTATTAATAACAATGTCCATAATTCTGGTACGTAAGGGCCATGGTAGTTTCCTGAAGTGCCTTCCTCTGTCTTGCGGCAGAATTGTCTCTGATAGTTCATGTTGGAGAAGGTGTCGAGGTGAGGCGGGAGCGTGGAAACATTTGGCCGTGACTGTGAAGTCCACACACACACACCTATATAACAGCGCAAGCCACCAGGGGAGACATTTGTTGTAGCACAGGATAGCAAAAGGGTCCGAAACAGAACCAAGAAGGAAGAGTGGGATTAGTTTGTTTCAAGGAAGTCCGCAGTTGGACGCTCTACCATCGGTAGTGAAGTCGAAGAAGGGAGCGGTGAAGAGGGATGAGGGATTTTGAGAAGAAGTAAGAAGGAAAAAAAAACATTTGTGTGAGAGAATGCTGAGTACAGAGATGTACCCTAGTCTGACTCTGGGACCGCAGAGGATCGGAGACTGCTTTTACAGAGGTGAGAGGACTCTTTCTCTGTGTGTGTGTGTGAATGTTTGTCATTGTGTATTCCAAGTTTTCAATGTAGACCAGGTGTCTGTGGCGGGCCACAATCGGTCCCGAAACTTGAACAGGGGGGGGGCGGGTCAAGAGCAGAT